TTGAAAGCCTTAGCTACCAAGAGGTTAGGGGAAAATGGAATTTTTTTTTTCTACCCAAATATTGTAGGTTAGTAGGTGACAGGCAGGTGGAATATTAAGGGCCTAATATATCTTGTTTAACCATGCTAACATATATAAGTGTTGTCATCTTAGACAACAGACAAAATTGTCATCAACTACTAAGTTGCTGCTCTTTATTGTATGTGTCGGATGTGTGAACAAAAATGTTACTAGCTTAAAAGGAAAAATTGTACGGATAGAACGTCAATTTTGTATAGTCCATTTTGTATGGCTTAAAGGGAAAGTTAAGCCTTTAATTTATTGATTATGCAAACAAAGTACTACTCCTATATTGAAAGTTAATAAGAATAAAAGCTACATACAAAATGTAATGTATTGATACTCTAAATGGTGCATGTGAGGCCTTTCAGGCGGAAATATCGCGACCTTGGTTAAAAACAAGCAATATGACATTATGTTAAAGTATTTATACGTTGGCTTAGTCTAACGACTGGTATCAAAGCCAATTATTCGACAAAATTAGTATAGATATGACAAAGTGATGGCATGTGGCCCTGCTTAGTGCCTTTGCTTGTTTACGGGCAACGTACTGCCTTTACCCGTAGCTTGGAGACGCACACACATAAAAAATCTCTATGAGCTTTGGTGGTCAGAAATACTCGAATGGATTAGGTGTCACACAATTAATCTCCAGATAAGCCTAAGAATCATAGTGAGGAGCAATGTGGGTATTTAAGGGAGAAATTGTTGGATGTACAAAAAAAGTTCTTAATTGAAAGTTGATAAGAAAAAGAAGCTACATATAAAATGTCGTGATATTCTTAATGACGTGAGACTTTTTAGAAAAAAATTATGCGAACACTCAAAATAAATAATGTCACCATATATTAAAGGTATCTTTTGACTGGCTTAGTCCAATATGATTCACCTCACACCACTCGGTAACAGACCAAACACGAAATAACCTATAGTTGTCATGTTCTTTGCAAATTCCTATATCAAGATGCCAAAGAAAAATAAGCATAAGGAATAACTAAATATGACACCGGCCTACCAGGTGTGACCAAGAATAATGTGCATTTATATGCATGAATATGTAGGTGAATAGTGAAAAATAATTAGGAATAGTAGGTGAACATGGCATATTTTGATAAGTTCTCCACCTGAACATGACAAATACTAGAAGGGAAATTTTATACCATAGTGACAAATATACCCTCTTTTCATAAATACACCAACTCCTAAGATGGATAAACCATATTGTGAAAGAAAAAAAAACATAAAAATAAGAGAAAATAGGAAGTTAATAAGGCAGAGAGACATATCCCTCTTATAAGGCTTTTTCTACATGGAAATAGATGGATTGCTGCTTTTTGTAATCATGAGTTCCCTAGTCATCATTACTATACTTGAAAAAATATTTGCCCCCTCTCTCTCTCTTCTCTCTTTCTCTCCCCTAATTAGTTGCAAAAATAGCCAGGGAACCACATTGTAAGTAGTAATGCTTATTCATATTGAAAACTACAATTCCACCTATTTATAGGATCTTACCACCTTCATATACTTCAACTCAACATTTCATTATAGCATACCTCTATTCCTCTCACTTGCTTCTTCTTCTTGAACTAAAACACACACAGAAGAAAAAAAAAAAAAAAGAGGAACAAATGTGTATCAGTTCTACAGATCAGTGGAGTTCATCACGTCCCATTTACTTTTTAATGCAGAAAAAACAAAGACCAAAGCTCTCTCGAATTCAAGTTCATAGGCTTACAAGGTATTGACAAAAGATTAATTGGTGCTCTTTTGTTCTTTCACTTTATTTTATTATCACTTTCCTCTTTAAGGTGTGAAGATCTTTTTTTCGCCTATAGTTTAATTAGTGGATTATGTAATGGAGTAAAAAAAATTTATTCTATCAGTATGTTTTAGCAAGTAACGATCTTTATTTTCAGGTTACTAATCTCATTTTTTATAAACAATGACCTATAGTTATCTCTTAAGTGACCTGATATTTATAAAAATTCATTTCCGTGATTGGTTTTTTCTGGTTATGAAGGAGGAAGAGAAGTGAAGAAAAAACATCTGAGGATATGGAAATGAGAAACTTGAAGCTATACATGGAAAATATGAGCATTTTAGAGGAGAATGAGAAATTGAGGAAGAAAGCAAGCCTCCTCCATCAAGAAAACCTTACTTTGATGTCTGAGTTTCAGAAGAAATTTTCTCAATTTGACAGAGGCTCCACAACTCTTAACCTACTTCCCATTCATAAGCAACCATGTCAATGAAGAAAGTAACTGTTATATTAATGAGGGAAAAGAGTGGATAAAAATAAATATTCACTTAGTGTATATGTATGCTAGCTACTTGTGTTATTCATAAATTATTTCGTTTATGTTGTTATGAAATTAGAGTACTCTTGGTAATTAGTTTTATTTGTGTAATCTGAATTAGCGACGTGAAAAATAAGACAGACAATATGTTGTAACAGGTTAAATCGCATTGATATAGAAATGAGTTTTTGTGATTCTTAGCTAGTTCATTTTGGGACGATCAAATTCAGGGAAAAGAGAAAAAACGGCTTATAAAGCTAAAGATGAACACATGAATACTTGAAACTTCTAAAATAGAGGACAGTAAAAAAAATCTGACAAACTTTATACTAGCATGTTTTGGTTCTTCAGAAGCTTTAAAAATATAAAGTAGGACAAACCTTTTTTTCACTAATATTTGAGGGGATGAGCTCATAAATATTAAAGACGACGAGGGAGAAAACAAATAGGAGTCTTTGGTAGGATTTATACCTTTAAATTTAAATAATGCAGATGAAGTAGCAATCAGTACATTGCCAGAACCATGTGGATCTTCATAGACGGGTACTTAGAAATTTGAAAACAATGCATACGCTATAGTTCTCTTTAAACACTACGAGATGGGAAACGATTTTTAATTGAACGGGTAAAAGAAAGTCAATATAGAGTGTGTTTGGTATGAAGAAAAATGTTTTACAAATGAGTGGTTTTATTACTTATTTTTCCTTGTTTGGTTGGTGAGTGGAAAACTTTTTTTGAAAAATATTTTTTAGTGTTTGGTTAGAAAACAGAAAATATTTGTTAGGAAAATATTTTTTTATGATACTCTCCTCATACCCCCCTCCCCCTCAAGTCCCCATGTTTCCTTGCTCGCTCCCTCTCCCCTCAAATACCCAACGTTTTCAGGACTCTATTTTCTTTAAGAAATTTAATTATTCTTCTAAAAATGCATACAAACCCAAAGAAACTAATGTGTTGCTTTACCTTTTTACGCAAAAATAACGTTATAATTTGTGCTCCATAACTAAAAAGGAAAGAGTCTTTTTTTGCTTGAAAAAGAAAGTACTCTTTCTACAACATGAAAATAAAGTACTCATTTTATTGAAATAAAAGAAAATACTTTCTCTACATCATGAAAAGAAAATACCCATTTTGTTGAAATGAAAAAAAATAATTTTTTTACATCATGAAAAAAAAAAATTGTTTAAATGAAAGAAAATATTTTTTCTATGAAAAGAAAGTACTTTTTAGTTGAAATGAAAAAAATACTTTTTATATCATATAAAAAAATACTCATATGTTGAAATGCTCTAACAGGCAAAGTAACAGTAATGGGAGGTCAGTCAGGCAATTCTTGATTTGACCCCGTAAATGTAGTTTAGGATAATGTAAATTGCATAAATCCAAACCAAAAACAACCTTTTCTTTTCCCAAAAAAGGAGTTCTGTGAAGCTTCTTAACACGTGAGGTAACTAAAATCATAAGTAAAAACAGCACTTTTTCAAAAGTCAGGGCTGTTGGCTCGAGACTGTCTGTTTCTCTACGGCAACATTAGTTTTAATTAATTCTTCACTTAATATAAAACTCCACTTTTATGGAAGAAATCAAAAAGAATATTTTTTATCAACTTCAAATGCAATAACAAACAGTATTCACATCTCAATTAATAATAAAACTGGACTGGTAGGCTTTGATTGTTTCTTTGTAAAGCCAAGTGTTCATATTCCTAGTTTCAGGATATCATGAAGTATAAAAAATACACGGTTTTAAGAAGATAATTTAAGTTATATATATTGATGATGTTAAAAGAATTATACCAACAGTGTAATTTAACATACTTTATCATGTTACTTATCATTTATTACCACATAAGATACTGGTGTAAATATTTCTTAGTGTCATAGCAGAAAACTTAAACTCTATAAATAATTAATTATACTCTAGTATTAAATATCATTTTTTTGTATGCTCAGGGAGTAACAAGTAGTCAAACTTCTTAGTGTGTGTGTATAAGGTCAACAAAATGGCCTCTGGAATCATAATACCATTTGAAATTACTCAATTAACTTTGGGCCTCAAGGTATTATTAAAGGCAGAGCACATCCCTATGCATTGACCTTTAATGTGCTTAGGATTCTTTCTTACATAAAAGGTTTCTATATAAAGTTTCAACTATTTTAGCATTCTACCTCTACTGTATGCAAGGTTTAAGAAAAAACCAGTTGACTCTACAGCATTGGGCCACATATATTGTAAATTAGTAGGCAACAGGCATAAATTCAAGGATTTAAGGCATACATTGGAAAACACAGTGTTAAGACCATTCCACAACACCTCAACCCCCAAAGTTAATCTTGACAAATAATTGCAAAGGTTAGCTTCAGTTTGTCTTTTATATTTCTGCAGTCTTGCGTGCGATGCAAAATGGGATAGATACAGAGGATTCGTACAACCAAATCCTATTAATTTGGGATTGAGGTATAGTTGATTGACTGAGTCTTATGATGCCATAGGGTCGAGAGTCGAGGCTCGAGGCCAGTAACAGAGACAATCACTATGTTGTTGTATTCATACAGCCAAACTGCAGGCAGCTAGCAGTTTGCCATATATCAGCAAGATAACAATGAGTAAGAAACTAGTCAAGCAGGTGATTGGAAAAAATAATACAGTACATAAACAATGAACATGTTGATTGTTGAAGATGTCGGATATGATTCATTTGACAACAGTTCCTAGAAAGTCAATAATGGCCATCTTTAGATGTCTAAGAGGAGATGTTTAAAGAATGTACAACAATGCAACTAGAAAGGCCAAAGTACCAGCCACCAAAAAGACAGAATTATTTTCAATCTTCCAGGGACAGTGCGATCCACACTGGTAGATGTTGCTAAAAGCTTTTTACATACAACCATGGAAAAGCCACTATCTTATTCTATATACTTAGTGTCAAATTGGTCTGATACGAGACAGGATTCTCATACCATGTTTCTACTTCTGCCAAAACAATCAGCATTGTCGACGAATAAAGTTTCTGTTCAACTTGAAGATGAAAAAGAGACTGCAAGAAATCGAATGAAGTACCATGTAGATAAGGAATCTGAATGAGTGATGAAAATTGGGAAAGTACCAAACTCAATGCTCATAGGTTTTTTGATTGCTCCTGTGATCTGTATATACGGAATGCAGCGACACACATTGTGGCATTACCAACAAATGTCAAAGCTGCTTGTAGAGCCACTAATACCTGAAACTCATGCATCCAATGCGTGTCATTTAAAGCGCAAAAAAGAAAGGAAAAAAACAAGATAAGTATTGTCTAAAAATACCAAGAAATGCTTCAAATGGGAAAAGTTGGAATAGAACTGGAGAAGAGACGCATGCGCATTGCCTTATGGTTTAAATTAACCAGTTCTTGTAAATATATTAACCTCAGTTAAATTAGCTACTATTTCCAGCAAACGAGTGAAAGTGAAAGGGGAAATCAACAAAATTCTTTAAAGCATTAAGTAGTACTTTCCACTTTTTTGAAACTTTGGAGAGTGAAGGTATTAAAAGAGGACGAGGTAGACCTAAAATCGCATGGAAGAAAGTCGTCTCAAAAGACCTACAATTTCTTGGAACCAATGCAGACTTAGCAAAAGATAGGGACAATGGAAGAAAAAGATTCATATGATATCTACTAGTTTGGAATAGGTTTTAGTCTTGCTAGTATGTTGATTTTGAACATATTGCTTTTCTAGGGAGTATATTTTTCCGGTAAAAGTATATATGTATATATATATAAAACTTATTTTTCGCTTTTATGTTTATTTGGTATGATGATGACATGAATTGAGCTTAAATGGAAAAAACATGGTCAATGAGTATTCATACCGCCAATCCCAACTTGTTTGGACTGAGGCGAAAGTTGTTGTAGTGTCTCTTAGTTTTTTTTCTTATTGGGTTCAAGCATTTATATCCAGATTAGTTGCTGGTACTTTTACAAGTTTATCACAACTGTTATTATATCAATTGTCAATGGTGTGTATAACCAATAATCTAAATTCAGATTCACTTTAAAGAATGTCATGACAAAAGGACAGGAACCCACCCACCCCTTCCCCAAATTCCCAGTTGTGTAAAGGTGTCATGGCAAGAAAATAGAAATGGAAGCTAGCAAAGCAGTTGTGAGGTTATTAAATTGCAGTAATTTATCAGTGTGATTATACAAACAATCACCTCACTCCCCCAACCCCATCCCTTCAGGAAAAGCCAACTACCTCTTTATCCACTATACCTTTTTTTCCTCGTAAGACTTTACATATGGTAGAAATTTCCTCTTAATAAGTAAATTGATTTACTTACCTCAAGGGACTCTGAGTTGTAAAAGAAATGCCAAGTGCAGGCACAAAACGCTCCACCTAGCAGGGGCACCTACACCAGAGAGTTGTACTCATAAGCCGCTAAAGAGCCAACAAGAGAGAAAAGAAACACATGATTGGATAAAAAACACTGGAAAGAAGAAGAGAAACCAATAGCATAGAATGTGGTAACCTTTTAACCAAGACTCAAAAACCACCAGAGCCTAGATCTCATTTCATTTCTCTCAAAGAAGAAAAAGGAATAAGGGTGTTAAATCATGTGACTCCACCTAATCTAAAAGCTTCAATTCTTAGTCTATCTGTTTAGGTCTATGACAAAGGGAATATAAGATGTATTCTGTTTAGAAGCCAGTATCTTGTATTGTTACTACTTGATGTCAATGCTTCTTTCGACTTTTCTTTAGCTGAGGGTCTATCGGAAACAGCCTCTCTGCCCTCCCAGGGTAGGAGTAACGCTGCGTACGTCCTACCCTCCCCAGACCCTCACTTGTGGGAATCCACTGGTTGTTGTTGTTGTTGTCTGTTTAGAAGCCATTCTCCTTAGCTTATACAAAAGCAGTCATATGTCGGTTATGAATTCCTCTAAAGTTTACAGTACAAACATGGAGCTGTTGGCAGCGCCAGCAGGATCACCAGTAATTATCAATTCCCATCAGACAGTGTAGTTTGGGAATTTAAAATAAGCCATCCATCACTTTAGTGAATCAAATTGCTCTTTAGGTATATTTCTCTTCTTTTATTCGAATTTAAATTAATTACATATAAACATGGGAAGTTCAGTTTCAAGAGTGACCTAATTGACACTTGACTTTAAAGAGAAATCTAATTTTTTCTAAAGGAACTAACAAGCATCAAGACACAGTCTCAAGCTATGTTGCTCTGACTCTCCGAAAATGGCGCCGGGTACGTGTCGGATCCTCCAAAAGTAGTGTATTTTTTGGAGGATCCAACACGGGTGCGGCGACATTTTGGAGAGTCCGCGCAACAAGAGTGGAAATCACTTCATCATGTAATCACTTCATCATGCCCCACATAACCATCAAGAGTGGGAATTATTTGCATTGGTAGCAGCAAAGTTGCAGCTGACTTCTGCTTTAACAAAAAGTTCTCTGCTTGAAAATTTTATTAACATCAATTGATTTCAACAATATCAATTTCGAAGAAGGTTCCAAAAATTCTTGAACAAAGAAGTACGAAAGAAGCTTATCCTGGTTAAAAAGATTGACCAAGCAGTTATCTGATTCATAAAAAATTGTTCCTACTTGACAAATGTCATGTTAAACAGCATAAGTTCGAGAAATTAGTTCTTCACAAAAAGGATTAAAGTAAAGAAGTGAAAGAGAGGCTTAATTTCCTTTATTCCATTGTAGTTATGACTGAGCAGATTCAACCTCTAACTTAGAAATTGAAAGAGAAAAATGTGACTCCTACACTTTCTTGTTGCAACAATTTCATAGTACAGACCTTTATTTCTGAAAAATTAATTAGCTGCTCAAAGAGCACATCAATGTCCTCACCTAGCCTCTTTAATTATATTGAAACATTTAGGGAAATGAGTAATAGTTATTGTGTTTTGACAAACATACAAGAAGTTTCAACATGAGCGGAGCAAAAAATGTGATCATTCCAAATGCCACCCCTCCTTTGGACTCTTTCTTCAACTCAATGAACCCCAAATCCTTCCCCATACCCTCAAAGAACTACGTCTCTTAACCTACCCAGTCATATCTCTGCCCCATAGACTTTCTTTAGAGCACAACATCACATTCTATCAATATTTGTATCCACTTAACTTTTAGGGAACAACATCTGCACAATGCCGAGATAGATATGTATTTACTTTATTGACTGTGGGAATTTGGAGTATGCAGTGATTTTGGTGCAAAGCAACAGCTTAAAATACAAATGGCTAAGGCATAATACATAAGCGGCCCCTCAAAGTTGTCAAAAATTTTCATATAGACATCTAAACTAAGGCTACGACCAACTGAACACCTGATCCATGCTCAAAGTATGCCTATTAGACACATGTTGCTGACATATGGCACAGTGAGCGTACCACACTTATTCCAGACGCGTGACAGGCCATATTTTAAATAAATAAAAAAAGATTCCCTCCCTGCCACCACATTCCCCAATTGAGAGGCTGACTTTGACAAGAGTTACAGCTCCTGCGATGCATGTATTTGATACTTCTTTTTCAACTCATTCTATAGTTACCACATGAAAACACACAAGGCCTCTAGTCTTCTAACCTGCTGCTTTCATTGCATACTAATGAGCCACAGATTGAGATGGTCTTAATATAACAATCAGGATAGTTTAAACGCCCACCATCTGTTATGTCTTTACAAATTATAGTCTATCTATGTTGAGAAAAAACACATGAATATCAATGAATACATGTACACTATTGACAATGGTAACAATGACCCACAAATAGTCTCTTAAATAAATCAAATTTCAAACAATAACACACATATAGTGGGTGAAATAAGTAACATACATCAGAAAAGAGCCAGACTTTTTGCTGGCGAGAGTTGAACCGGTGACTCTTTTGGTTACAACACCTTGGCCTAAGTTTTTGAGGCACGCCTCATTGGCCAATTAATGGTTAAACACAACATTCCAGAGCCGAGAAACTTAAAGCACAAAAGTTAACCAAAATCAAGACTTTATGCATATTATGAACCAATCTGAACCAATTTACACAAACTCTAAAAATAAACAGTACTCACCATGCCCCAAGAGAGTCCCTTCCAAGAAGCATTCCCAGACTTCTCCCCGTATTGCCAAACCAGAGCCATAGCAGTAACCCTTTTAAACAAAGTATTAGTGGTCATTTCATTCAGCACAAAAACAGACTCTCTCGTCCCAAATTAGATATAAAAGTTGCAATCTTTCTACATCTAGAGACCTTGATGTGAGCACAATAGATATAAAACAAAGTGTAAGGGTCGGGCATTCGGATAGTGCGGAATTTAAAACGTTATATTGACAATAACAAAGACAGTGCTAGTTGATAATAAAGGCAAATAAAACATATAAAGGAAGTACAAATTTAACGTGGTTCGGTCAAGGTGACCTACGTCCACAAGCAGAGAGGAGCAATTTCACGATACCAACAAGAGTACAAAAGAGAGTAAATACTCTAACTAATCCCAAATAACCCAAGAGAATAACCTCACAAGATCCTCCAAAGAAAGGGTTCATACAAGTATTTCCCAACACTCACTAGCTTACAAAATACTCTACAATAAATGAGGAGAAAGAAAGACGAGAGTAAAAGGCCCTTGAATTGGTGTGTTTTGAAAAGGAAGAACTGATCTCCTTTTATAGGAGAAAAGAATGCCGGCTCCAAGTTTGCTACAACAGTAGATATTATTCTCCTCCAATCAAATTCTTTCTTTGGCTCCAATATTGTAAAATAGGCATATATCAATATAAATAAAATGGACCCCACAAAAATAGCCAAAAGATATGGCCACATTACAAATCTCCATCTTGGTCTTGTTTTGACTGATAAAGTAGATTTGCTCCACCCTTTCCGCAAAAGCTATTGTGGGCCAAATCATTCTTTATAAATGCCGATCAAGTTCACTTGCCAACTGGAAGAGGCTTTGTGAACATATCAGATCTTCTTAACAGAGACCTTTCAATCAGCGATGGTTTCACGGATGAAGTGATAGTTGATATAAATATGTTTCGTCTTCTTATGATACATCTAATCTTTAGTCAATTGAATGGTACTTTGGCTATCACAAAAAATAGTAATACCACCTTGGTGTAAAATGAGTAAAGCAGATAGACCCTTCAACCATAAGGATGTTGATCGCCTCGGTCACCGCTATATATTCTGTTACAGTAGTTGATAAAGCTACTACATGTTGTAATGTAGCTTTCCAACTGATAACGCAATCACCAATACAAAATACGTAGCCTATCAGTGATATTCTTTTGTCAAGATCACCTGCATAATCTAAGTCTACAAAACTAACCAAAGTGTTAGTATTTCTCCCAAACTCCAAACATGCGTTTGAAGTACCTTGCAAGTATCCAAGAATCCATTTCACAGCCAGCCAATGTGGTTTACCAGGGCAAGCCATGACTGCTTGTGAACTATCTGGACGTGTACGCACCATTGTATACATAATACTGTTGACTGCATTAGAATATAATACCTATGTCATATACCTCTCTTCTTACTCTGACTGTGGTGACTGAAAGCTGATAACTTAAAATGAGCAGCAAGAGGGGTACTCACTAGTTTAGCATCTTTCATGCCAAACCTGTTCAAGTACTTATGGGCCAGGAATAGCCTGTCGGCTCATCGATCTCTTTTGATCTCCATGCCAAGGATTTTCTTGGCTGCTCCCAAATCTTTCATCTCAAATTCACTTTTCAGCTGACCTTTTAAATTGTGAATTTCTGCCAAATACTTAGCAGCAATGAGCATGTCATCAACATATAACAATAAGTACAAAAATGAACCATCATGTAACTTCCGAAAGTAAACACAACTAGCATACATGCTCCTCGAATAACCATGACCCAACATAAAAAATTCAAACCTCTTGTACAATTATCTTGGAGATTGTTTTAATCCGTACAAGGATTTTTTCCAACAAGCAATATAATCTTCTTTTCCTTCAATTTCAAATCCTTCGGATTGATGCATGTATATTTGTTCCTCAAGTTTTCCATGTAAGAAAGTTGTCTTAACATCAAGTTATTCTAATTCCAAATCTTACATGGCAACTAAGGCAAGCAAAACACGAGTAGAACTATGTTTAACAACAGGTGAGAAAATATCACTAAAATCAACTCCTTGTACCTGACTATAGCCCTTTGCAACTAATCTTTCCTTATACCTTTCATCTTTAACCCCTAGAATGCCTTCCTTTTTCTTGAAGAGCATTGAAATCAGAGTCGGATCTAACCGGATCGGTTTCAATAGCCAATATGATTCTAACAAAGATTTATTTTGAGAAATTTGACCGAAATGCAAACTTTGGAATGTGGCAATTAAAGATGAAAACTATCCTAATTCAGGATGGCCTACATTTGGCATTACAAAGAAAGGAGAAGAAGACGGATAAAATAACGGACGAGGAGTTTGTCGTCATAGACAAAAAAACAAAATTAGGTATTATCTTAAATATCTCAAATGAGGTTTTACGTGAAGTTTCTACAGAAACCATAGCCAAAGGCATGTGGGATATATTAAAAACCATGTATATGAAAAGGTTTGTTGTTGTTCTTGTGTATGAAAAGGACAGTAGAAAACAGACTTTACCTAAAGCAAAAGCTTTACATTTTTCGTATGGCTGAATGTACCTCTATACTCTCACATCTTGATATATTTGATTTCCTTATGGGTTTGAGTAATATAGATGCTGAAATCAAATATGAAGATCAAGTCGTGTTATTGCTTGTTTCCTTTTAAATATGTAAGAGATAATATGCTTTATGGAAATGATAATATTTCTTATAAAGATATCAAATCTATCATAAAATTAAAAAAAATAGATAGACAGAGATATTACTGGAGAAACCAGTGGGAACGAAGTTGAAAACTTATTTGTAAGAGGGATATCCTATCAAATAGTGAGAGGTCTAAATCAAGGTCAAAGTCCGGATACAAAAATGTCGTGTGTAAATATTGACATAAGAAAGGCCGCATTATCTCTGAATGCTTCAAGTTGAAAATCAAAGAAAAGCATACGGAAAAGAAAAATGAGCACAAGAGTCTCTTCTGGTTCGACTTCAAGAGTCTAAACTTCAAGAGTTTCAACTGTATTATGCTCGAAAGTTAATGCGTTTGGCTTAAAAGGAATGCCAATCTCAACATCCACCTGCTTCCGTGTGCCCTTCCCTTTATCTATATTACATGAACTAGAAGACTCTTTTCTAAGATGACATAGAGGATTCATCAAAGGCTACGTCTACTAATTACTCCCTCCGTTTCAATTTGGATAAGGTAGTTTGACTCGGCACGGAGTTTAAGAAGAAAAAAAAGACTTTTGAAACTTGTGGTCTTAAAAGCTTAATTGGTAAAAGTTTTGTGGGGCCATGACATGTGTGTGGTTATAAAAGCTTCTCGTTAAGGGTAAAATGGGTAAAATGAAGAGTTTAAAGTTGAATTATTTCCAAATTTAGAAATGTGTCATTTATTTTGGAACACACTAAAAAGGAAAGTACATCATCTAATTTGAAACAGAGGGAGTATAAATTTTGGTGCCATGGGATCAGGACACTATAGTCTGTATCCTTTCACCCTAGATGCATACCCAAGAAGAATACACTTTTTAGCCTTTAGCTCTAATTTTTCATTATTTACATGTGTGTATACAGAGCAACCAAACATCTTTATATCGGAATAATTAGCAGGAGTATCTAACAACATTTTCTCTTGAGTCTTAAAATTCAAAGGTGCAGAAGGAGCGCGATTGATAATATAACAAGTTGTAGAAATAGCCTTTGCCCAAAAGGCATTTGTCAATCCAGCATTTGATATCATGTAACGAGCTTGTTCCAAAAAAGTTATGTTCATCTTTTCTGCTACACCATTATGCTAAGGGGTTATCCTCACAGTGCGGTGTCGAGCAATTCCTTCATTCTTGTAGAATTTGTTGAATTCATCATTTCAAAATTCCAAATCATTATCTATTCTAAGCCGCTTAACATGTTTTCCTATTTGCTTCTCAATCAAAACTTTCCATTGTTTGAAAGTTAAGAAAACATCACTTTTATTTTTCAGGAAATAAACCTAAACTTTCCTTGAATAATCTCAATGAAAATTAACATATACCTAGCACCACCTTTTGATGGGGTACGTGAAGGACCCCAAAGATCTGAATGAATGTAATCCAAAGTACCTTTTGTTTTGTGAATTGCTGGAGTTTTGAAGTTGACTCTTTTTTTTCTTTCCAAACATACAGTGTTCACAGAACTCAATATTTCTGGTACTTTGGCCACACAAGAGACCTCATTTGATGAGGATAGAACGACCTTTTTCACTCATATGTCCCAATCGCATATGCCACACTTTGGTGATGTAAGAATCAGGCTTATCTTATGTTGAAACTGAAGCAGCACATCTAACAGTGGATCCCAATAAAGTATATAACGTACCAGATCTACGTGCTTTCATGACCACAAGAACACCTCGAAAAACTTTTTAAATTCTACCTTCACCTGTGTATTTGCACCCAAGAGATTCTAGAGTGCCCAAATAGATGAGATTTTTCTTCAAACCAGGAACATATCTAACATCGGTGAGAGTTCTCACCAAACCATCAAGCATTCTGATTCGGACTGTACCTTTACCAATAACGTTGCAGGCAACATTATCAAGACAACTCCACCTTCAACAGATTCATATGTGGTATCCCGATTGGGACACATATGATAAGAACAACCCGAATCCAAAATTCACTCGTCGTTAGATTTAAAATTATTATTAGTTGCTAAAATTATAGTTCCCTCAGTCTCATTAGCAGCTGCACTTACTTCGGCGATAACAGTATCTTTGTGCTCATTTTTTTTTTCCATATGTTTTTCTTTGGTTTTCAACTTAAAGCATTCAGAGATAATCTTGTCTTTCTTATAACAATATTTGCACACGACATTTTTGTATTTGGACTTTGATCTATTTGAAACCTTTTTATAGGATCTCCTCCTCACAAATAAGCTTTCACAGTGGTTCCCACTGGTCAGTGTTTTAAAAGGCGTGAGCGTAAGGCGAGGCGTTTTACATATGCCTCAGCGAGACGTAAGCCCCGAGGCACAGGGCGTAAGCCCCATGGATATTTAATTTTTAATATTTTATAAAAAAAATATAATTACAATAAATATTTATAAACGGGTGAAATTGCATAAAAATTGAAGAAAACTATAAACATGTGAAAAATATATATATATAGATGTGCTCTATGCCCATAAAAAACTAGTCAAAACAATCTATTATACGCTACTTACAAACACAAGTAACTTGAGTCGAAAAGAATAATGTTTTCTACATGGAGGAACAAAAAGGATGACTAACCTGCAATTTGAACTTTAAACTTGTTACTATGAAGAAGAATGGAGTTCTATTTGTATTTGTAAAAAAGAATTGAATATTTGTTGCTTTTTGGGGATATTAGCAGACTAGCGGACAAGATAAAGAATAGGGAAAGACCATAAATTAGGGCTTCAATCAATACAAAAGTTCTTGACTTTTAAATCTAATACATTTCACTTCCTTTTTAAAACTTTTGAGTAATTACAAGCTGAATTTTGAAAATTTGAGTATTATATGAAGGACTTATTCAACAAATTTTGTTTTAATTAGAAAAAGTCTCTGGGCTTAAGCCTCACTACAAAAACACGCCTCAAACGCCCGAGCATACGCCCCGAATTGTTGGGCGTACACCCCGAATTGCTGGGCGTACACCTCTTGGGACTTTCGCCCCACACCATCACCTCGGGGCATTTTTGGTGCGTCTCGCCCCAGGGCTCACCCCGAAAGCGCCTTTTAAAACACTGCCACTGGTTTTTCCAATAATATCTCTATCTGTTTGTTCTTTGATTTCAAGATAGATTTGATATCTTTATAAAAAAAAAATATTATCCATTCTATAAAGTATAGCATCTCTTATATGTTTAAATGACTGGGGTAAGGAAACAAGCAATAATACGGCCGGATCTTCATCTTTGATTTCAGCATCTCTATTACTCAAATCCATAAGAAAAGAATCAAATATATCAAGATGTGAGAGTATAGAGATACCTTCAGCCATACGAAAAATGTAAAGCTTTTACTCAGGTAAAGTCTGTTTTCCACTATCCTTTTATATACAGGGTTTTTAATTTATCCCACATGCCTTTGGCTTTGGTTTCTACAGAAATTTCACGTCAAAACTCATTTGAGAGATTTAAGATAATACCTAATTTGCATTTTTGTCTATGACGGCAAACTCCTCATCCATCATTTTATCCGGGTTCTTCTTTCTTCTTATGGTGCCAAACCTAGTCCATCCTAAATTAGGATAACTTTCATCTTAATTTCCATATTCCGAAGTTTGCACTTCGGTCAAATATCTCAACATAAGTCTTTGTTAGAATCATATTGACCATTGAAACTAATCATGTTAGATCCGGCTTTGATACCAACGCTCTTCAAGGAAAACGAAGGCATTTTAGGGGTTGAAGATGCAAGGTAATAGGCATGATTAGTTGCAAAGGGCTACAGTCAGGTACAAGGAGTTGATTTTAATGATGTTTTCTCGCATGTTGTTAAACATAGTTCTATTCGTGTCTTGCTTGCCTTAGTTGCCATGTATGATGTGGAATTAAAACAGCTTGCTATTAAGACAGCTTTCTTACATGGCAAACTTGAGGACCAAATACACATGCATCGACCCGAAGGATTTAAAACTGAATGAAAAGAAGATCATGTTTGCTTGTTGAAAAAATCTGTGTACAGATTAAAACAGTCGCTAAGACAAAGGTACAAGAGGGTTGATTCGTTTATGTCGGGGCATTATTATTCGAGGAACATGTATGATAGTTGTGTTTACTTCCAGAAGTTAACTGATAGTTTATTTGGGAACGTATTGTTATATGTTGATGACATGCTCATTGTTGCTAAGAATTTGGTAAAAATTTACAATATGAAAGGTCAGCTGAAAAGTGAATTTGAGTTAAAAGATTTGAGAGCAGCTAAGAAAATTCTTGGCATAGAGATCAAAAGAGATCGAGGAGCCAACAAGTTATTCCTGACCCAGAAGAAATACTTGGAGAAGGTTTTGGAGAGGTTTCGCATGAAAGATGCTGAACCAGTAAGTACCCCTCTTGCTGCTCATTTTAAGTTATCAACACTCAGTCATCGCAGTCAGAGGAAGAAGAGAGAGATATGGCACAGGTACTATATTTTAGTGCAGTCAACAGTATTATGTATGCAATGATACGTACACGTCTATATATTTCACAGGCAGCGAGTGGTAAGCCGGTACGGCTTGCCATGGTAAAACACACTAGCATGTTGTGAAATGGATTCCCATATACTTGCAAGATACTTCAAACACATGTTTGGAGTTTGGGAGAAATACTAACATTTTAGTTGGTTTTGTAGACTCAGATTATGCGGGTGATCTTGATAAAAGAAGATCACCGACAGCCTACGTATTTTGCATTGGTGGTTGCGCTATCAGTTGGAAAGTAACATTACAACATGCAGTAGCTTTATTAACTACTGAAGCAGAATATATCGCAGTGACTGAGGCGATCAAAGAAGCCTTGTGGTTGAAGAATCTATTTGTTGAACTCAGTTTACACCAAGATAGTATTACCATTTTTTGTAATAGTCAAAGTGTCAGTCACTTGACTAAAGATCAGATGTATCATGAGAGAACGAAACAGATTGATATCAAGTATCACTTCATCCGAGAAACCATTGTTGATGGAAAGGTCTCAAAAATTGAACAAGATCAACACTAAAGACAATCCTGCTGACATGTTCACAAAAGCCTCTTCCAGTTGGCAAGTTCAAGTTCTGCTTGAATTTGAAACAGCCGCTCTATCCTCACAAGGTAGGGGTAAGGTCTGCGTACACATTACCCTCCCAAACCCCACGGAGTGGGATAATACTGGGTATGTTGTTGTTGATTCAGCTCACAAGGACTTTTGCAGAGAGGGTAGAGCAAATATACTTTATGAGCCAAAACAAGGCCAATGTAGAGATTTGTAATGTGGCCATATCTTTTGGCTATCTTTGTGGGGTCCATTTTATTTGTATAGGCATATGCCAATTTTACAATCTTGGGGCCAAAGAAAGAATTTGATTGGAGGGGAATAATATCTCCTCATGTAGCAAACCTAGAGCCAACGTTCTTTTCTCCTATAAAAGGAGATCAAGTCTTCCTTTTTAAAATACGCCAATTCAAGAACCTTTTATTCTCTTGTCTTTCTTTCTCCTTATTTATTGTAGAGTATAAGAAAGTGAGTATTGGGTAACACATGTGTGAACCCTTTATTTGGAGAAGGTTATACTTTATATGTTTGTACCTCCTTTATATGTTTTAATTGCCGTTCTTATCAACTAGCACTGCCTTTATTATTGTCATTATAACGTTATTTGGCTAAATTTCGCACTATCCAAATTCCCCATCCTAACAAACTGCTTAGTGCAAAGGTACTTTTTCGATATTTTATATATTTTTAAGTGGTAAAAACTTACCTCCACTAATGTGTACACTACATAGACATGTTTTTGCTTACACTCTTATCACTAAACTCATAGTTAACTACTATATATTCTCACTTTAATTTATGACTTAACCATGATAAAATTTGGTGTAAACATTGTGTGTTGGTAAATTTTTACCTAACTTAACGCATATGTCAGAAGTCTTTATTTATACTTATACTAAATAAATTGAAGAAAAAAAGGATTAAAAACACAGTGTATTGCAGAGTAAATACCATTCAACAACGCTGGAAACGTGAATAGCCCAGGTGGGTAAGGAGAGAGCATTAGTGGGTTCGTTGAATTGGAAAGAAGAACCCGTTATAGAAGCTATTTCAGAAGCAGATGCAGTGTCAGGTCCCACCATTAGTGTGGCTAAAGCAACTCCAGTAACCCCCAAAATAGTGGCTGCATTTTTCAAGTTCTGAGCTGAAATGCTGTTGGTGGGTGCTGGAAATAGGGATCTTTGCTTTGGAGAGAGGAGAAATTTGGAAGGAGCAGTTTGTGAGCTGAATTGGGTTAGTGTTGGTTGGTGAAAAGGGGCCAGTTTTGAGAATGAGGTTATGGTTGGAACTGCCATGGCCGTTTATTTGATGTTATTGGTGCAGTTGTTGAGATAAGTGAAGAAGTACATCGCATTCTGCACTACGGATTTTCCCTTTACTAACGTGCCTGACCACACTAACCACCCATGTTTACATATATTTCATGTATAATATGTATAATTATATATATTTCATGTATATCAGTTAAAAAAATAAACACTAATTCGGACATGCTACGGCGTACGTATTCTAATTATTTAATTCTGTTTTCAGTTTCAGTTTATTTGAAGTCAAATATTTATAATTTATAAAAAATTATAAATTGTGAAATATTTTGTAAATGTCTGAATTTAAAATTTCATGAAATTTTAAAAAATAAATGTATGAAAAAACTTTAAAAACTGATTGAGTTCGCTCTTGTACTCTAAGGTGACATTTGTTTTAGAGTTCGTGAAAATTAAATCCAGTTTTAAGTTTTTGAAAGTTGCTTTACACCTTTTTGCAACAAAAGAAAAAATCAATGTTTTTGAAGATCCTGACTCAATTATTTTAAATCTTTTAGGAATTCAAGAAACTATTTTTACAAACTTTAAAAGATTTGAAAGACGTAAATTTTAAATTAAATGTCAACCATTGTAATGTTCTCTCTTGATCCACAGCTTTCAACTTCAATTCTCTTCTTTATTTCGTAGGTATGTTAAAGGTAAATAATTAATAGCATCGAGTGTATCATCAAACTATATACTTCAGTCTTAATATAAAAATTAAATAAAATATAAATTACATAATTATATTTAAATTTTATATATATATATATATATATATATTGCTCTAACATATCTGAAATAAACATCAAATATGAGTTAGTAAAAGAAAGAAATTTAGAAAAAAAAGATTGTATTGGTAAAATTCGGTCTTAACACGTGGCTCGTCAGAGCGATACATAGCATCAATGGTTCAGTATTTAGAAGCATGAAAACTAAAGCCAGGAGAGCCGAAGAACCACGATCGGAAAAATTCGGCAAGCATGTATCTAGAACAGACTTGACATCTTCGGTGCCGAACTCCAATATACTGAGATCATGGTCCATGTCCGTTACACTATCGTTGTTATTGTACGAGGTAAAATCGATTCACATTAAATACTCGAATAACAGAATGACACGTGAAATCTAGGACAAGCGGAAGACGAAGCAAATGGAGGTCAGGGCCGAAGGCAACAGCTTCGATTGACATCGGGTAGACCCCGAAGGGAACATTATCAACGGGGGCAAACAGATATTTGCCACCAGATGACACTCAATGAAGAATATTACTCAGTATTAAATACACATCCGTTACAGAGAATTTTGATATTTATAGCCTACCGTTGCATATTCATCAATGACCCTCGTATTGTCGTTGTCACACCCCCTTTTACCCCACAAAAGATATGTGTATGGATTATTGTGGGTTAAAGAGTTTTTCCAATTAAAGTGATAAATTTGAGTAGGGATTATTTTATTTACAGAGCCGCCACTTGGAATTGATTTTTTGGGTCTTCCAAGTCACCTTTTATTGGAATCCCTATTCAAAGAAAGATTTGACTCTTTTATTATTGGTCTACGAAAACAAAGTCTGGGTAAGGAATTTTGTTGACCGGGAAGAAGGTGTAAGGCATTCCCCAAGTCCCGTGGTTCCAGCACGGTCGCTTTATTGACTACAACTTGGCTTGAATTAATTTTGGATAAACTGTGATTTATTGGTTTTCATGTTCTATCTATCCGCTTTTAATTATTAAAATATAAAATTATCTTTGAAACGAATTACGTGTGTGAATCCGTTTTGTTTATTATGCCAAAATCTTGTCACGCGTACGTGTACACAATTAATAGAATTTTATTATTAAGATTGTTTTGGCCATAGTTAACACATACTTCGGTTTTATTTTTAGAAATCACAATTATGCCACGCGAAACGTATACATAATCGCAATAAACTAATTAAAAGGCGTGCCTAAAGCACCCTATCAGTGTTCATTATTCTTCCTATATACTTGAGATCATTGTAAGGTCATGAATTATGAAATTACTTATAAAAGAAGTGTATGATTTTAGATATTTGAATAAATAAACCGCCATATACCAATACCCTACAATCCAATAATTGAAGCCCAAACTTATTAGGGTCCTAATCTTCCTAACTTTAAAGGAAGTTTGAATACCATATTTCCAGAAATATGATTAAGTATATAGCATTTAAGGACTAATTTACATTATTATTTATAAAGTTTAAAGGCAAATAAATAAAATCACATGAAATAAGATTAAAAGAATAGAGAAAATAATAAACCTTTAATGCAAAATTTCCAATTAAATGAGTTTTCAAGAACAGATATAGTAACTCAGACGAACGTCGAACAAGCATAAGCGAAGAAGAACATCAAAGCTAGTGAACGGAGCTCCAACGGAATCCTCGACCTCGACTATTGACTTCACTTTTTGGCGTGTAAAAAGGGATGTTATGAAGTATTTTTGTTGGGTTTTGGTTGATGAATAGCTAGATTTTTCGAAAAGAAGAGACGAAGAAAGAATGACACGGGTAGAAATTCTCTTAGCATAGAAGAAAAAAATAAAATTCTCTCAATTCCCTCCTCTCTTTTTTTCTTCTCTTTCTCTCTTTTTTCTCCTCACATTTATCTTATATTTATAGAAAAAAATCGGAATTTTTTCAAATTTATTATTTTATTATTTTTTAATAAAAAAAAATTCTCACTTCCCATTTTTCTTCTTTTTTAAAAAAAAAAAATAATTCTCCACTTTCCTTTACTTTTATTTTTTAATTTTCCACTTTTTTACTTTACTTTTTTTTTATTTTTCACTTATTTTACTTTTCTTTTTTTAATTTTTACTTATTCTACTTTTTTTTTTAAAATTTCCACTTTCTTTTACTTTTTTTTAAAAAAAAAAAAATCAGCTACCTTTACTTTTATTTTTTTAATTTTATCTTTCTTTTACTTTTCATTTTTTTAAATTTTTACATTCTTTTACTTTTATTTTTTTAATTTTTCACTTTTTTTTACTTTTTTTTAAAAATAATTTCCACCTACTTTTACTTTTAATTTTTTATTCCATACTTTTAATTTTTCTATTATTTTATTCCCATCCGAAAATTAAAAAAAATATTTATATTTTTTCGTTTTTTTTAATTTATTTTATTTTAAAATAAAAATAATACTAATAGTAATAATTTGACCTTTTAAATTATTTTTAATTCTTACCCTATATTAAAAAAATATAACAAAGCTAAAAAAATATATATTAAATTTTTAAAAATATTTACACAGTAGAAGGTGGTAAAAAATCAAATATAGTCAAAAATTAGGTGCTCACAGCTGCCCCTCTTTGCTTGGAAACATGAAGAGTTTTCAGGAAAAGACTAGGTGAGCCATGTGACTAATTTTTGACCAAACCATTATTAAAAGAAATAAAAGATAGGGTGTAACCGAGTCCTGGTTTTGGACTGCCTACATATCCCGGGTTATAGAGGAATCAGGTCATGTGTAATTCAAGAAGAATGGTGGAGTGATGAGCTGAGGAGTCGACTGAGGTTCCGTCAAGGCTCCGGTCTGTGGTCCTGCTATTATAAAAAAGAAACTAAACAAGCCTATCAGCTATGAGTTACAAGATTCCTATCTATGAGTCTTCTGAAACTTGATCTTGAGTCTTGACTGGTTCTTCATGCAGACTCTGATCTAAACCTTAATGCTTGCTAGTTGTAGGTGCTAGTTCATTGTTCTATAGCTTCTTCTAATCAAAACAGGACCCCAATGCTCGTGGCTTCAGTCATGTCTTGAGCATTCCATCTCTTTTCATCTGCTTTTGTATTTTGGATTCACCTATTTTTTCTTTTTTTTTATTCTGAATTGAGACTTCTTCTTTTGGTCATCTCGAACCCTATGCCTCGAGGTAAAACCTACTCAGATTCCAAAACAAACAAACGAGCGAAATTTTTCTGCCCCAGTTTGCACTAGGAAAATTTCATGAGTTATTGTAACAAAATTCTAAACTACTTCTTTATTGAAAGCAATAAAAAGTCGGGAATGGTGTACCCCAAAAAATAACAGAGACTAGGGAATGAAGACCCTATGTCTAATGAAAGAAACTAGGGAGTGGAGACCCTATATTGGAAAAGCGAATAGGGATTGGTGTACCCTGATACTGGTAAGGAAATGCAACCATAGGTTGGTACCCTATATTATGGAAAAAGAATGTAATCAGGGGTTGGTACCCTATATTACTGAAAAGAATGTAGTCATGGGATGACGTCCTGTATTACTGAAAGAAAATGTAACCAGGGGATGGCACCCTGTATTACGAAAATGAAAATGAATCCCCTAGGCGAAAAGGTTCTACATGGGTTAAACTACGAAAAGCGAGCCTAGGCGAAGAGTACTTCTACCCGGATTATGAGCTGGATCCCCCTAGGCGAAAAGTTTCTACCTGGGTTAAACTACTTAAAACAACCTGAGCGAAGAGTACTTCTACCCGGAACTATGAGCTGGATCACCCTAGGCGAAAAGGTTCTACCTGGGTTAAGCTACTTAAAACAACCTGAGCGAAGAGTACTTCTACTCGGAACTATGAGCTGGATCCCCCTAGGCGAAAAGGTTCTACCTGGATTAAGCTGCGAAAAACAAGCCTGGACGAAGAGTACTTCTACCCGGAAACTATGAGCTGGATCCCCCTAGGTGAAAAGGTTCTACCTGGGTTAAGCTACTAAAAACAAGCCTGGGCGAAGAGTATTTCTACCCGAAAATGTGAGCTGGATCCTCCTAGGGAAAAAGGTTCTACCTGGGTTAAGCTACGAAAAACAAGCCTGGACGAAGAGTACTTCTACCCGGAACTATGAGATAGATCCCCCTTGGCGAAAGGTTCTACCTGGGTTAAGCTATGTAAAACAACCTGGGCAAAGAGTACTTCTATCCAGAACTATGAGCTGGATCCCCCTAGGCGAAAAGGTTCTACCTGGGTTAAGCTACGTAAAATAACCTGAGCGAAGAGTACTTCTACCCGGAACTATGAGCTGGATCCACCTAGGCGAAAAGTTTCTACCTGGGTTAAGCTACGTAAACATCCTGAGCGAAGAGT